ACAACTGTGCTCCACAGGGATTTTGAAATGACTGATTTTTCCAATAGATTGCTATGCCTTTTCTTTTGAGGTTCCTCTGAGTGGACAAGAACATCCAACCTTTTGATTAACAGCCAAGGGTGTTAACCATTTGCACCACCAAGGGACTTCTCCTTTTCTACTGGCATAAAGACTCTTCTTGTTGTTGTTAAATGTCATCGAGTCAATTCTGACCCATAGCTACCCTGTATAGGGTTTCCAAGGAGCAGCAGGTGTGCTTGAACCACCGCCCTTGCAGTTCAAATGACTTTGCAGTCTGACACATTAGCCCATAGTGCCACACTGGGACTCCTAAAAACCATTGTTGTTGTTGTTGTTAAGTGCTGTAGACCCTATATAAGGTTACCAAGGAGCAGCTGGTGAGCTTGAACTACCAACCTTGCAGTGCATACGGCTTTGCAGTCTGGCGCATTAACCCACAGCGCCACACCAGGACTCTTTAGAAGGCCTCAAAGCTGCTATTGTGCTTCTCAGTAGGCCAAGAGGAGGGATGGTCCACAGATGATGATGATCTAGGAAGGAATGGGGTCCCAGGGAGAAAGAAAGGAGGCTTTAGTTCGACCTAAGAACCAGCCGCTCCGCGGGAGAAAGATGAGGCTTTCTACTCCCGTAAAGATTTACACCCTCGGAAACCCTGTACAGGGTCGCTATGGGTCGGACCCGACTCGATGGCACTTAACAACAACAACAACAAGGGCAAGAAAGGAAGGACATCTTGTAGAGACATTTCTCAGGCTTTTCCTGAGTTGAGGCTGGAGATGGAGATGACTGGCTTGTCCAACCAGAGGTCAGTAGTTGAAGCCAAAGAAGTGGTTAAGCTCATCTGTCAGTAGAAAGGGTACAGAACCAAGCCCAAAGGGAGCCCACATTCCCAAAGTTGATAGAGGACAAGCTAAAAGAAAGGGACAAAGAAAGAGCCATCTAAGAGGTAGGAGGCAAATGCCTGCAAAACCAAGGTCAGAGCATGTGTCCTTAGGAAGGTGATCTTAGAGCTATAAGAGCCCTTAAAAGCCATGATGTTTTCCACCTCTCATGTTTTACAGATGAGGAGCTGAGCATTAAGGACTCGCCCTCGCAGGGCTCCCTATCCTCTGGCTCCTAGCTCTGTACTCTTGCACTACCCACACACAGTCCTTGGAAACCTTTCCACCTCTGAATAGTTCTCTGCTTTTCAAAACCTCAGCTGGCCCAGGTGCCAAGAACAGAGTTAGGGCGAAGAAAGACACTGTAGCTTTGCTAATTTCCAGCAAGTCCTGCCAATCTGAGGGAGGAAGTCCCTGTGAGGGCACATGTGCCATGTGATTCTGACTGCTGCACTCTGGGAAGGCTTGAAAGGGCTTCTCAGAGGTCAAACTGCTGCCACACCCAGCCAGCCCCTTTTTCCCCCAGCCCCAGCCAACAGTCTTGGCTGTTGGCAGGCCACGTGAGCCATGCATTGCCACATTCCCCTATGGCACAGGCAGTGGCCAGGAACTGGCCAGAAGGTTTTTATTGGCTCTGGTGAGGCTGACTCTGTCTGAGTTCTAGTTTCTAGTTCAGGTCATAATAAAGGACGACATTCGCTTACAATCACCCCAGGAAGAAGATGAAGAGAGGGAACAAGAGCCCATGGCAGAGGTAGGGAGATTGGGCAGGCAGCAGGTAGCTAGGCCATGATCTCCAGCTGCCAAGTCTGCATCCGATGGGGAAGGAGCCTTGGTGCCACAGTGCTGACTTATGGCACTTACCCAGCACCCAGGATCCCTGCTGTCTGAGAGCTCCACCTAGGTTTTAGTTTCTGCCCAGGAAAACATAGAGCAATCATGTAACCTCCCTGGGCATTAGTTGCCTCCTGTTGTGGCACTGTGGATTAATATGCTGGACTGCAAGGTCAATTTGAAACCCTATACAGTGTCGCTATGAGTCGGAACTGACTCGATGGCATTTAATAACAACAATATGTAAAAGGGAGAAATTGGACCAGGTCCTAGTCTAACTCAACAACTCTAGGACTCAGTGGCAAAGGATGTGATGCAAGAGTATAGTTCTCACAGAAAGCATGGGTGTGGGCCCCTGGCTTCGTCTCCCAAGCCAACCGTATGGTTCACTGCTCTCAACAACTCTCCCCACTGATCCCTTGCTCAGACCAGAGAAGAAAGCCAGGTCTGCACTGTTCCTCAGCCCCATGATAGTCAATGCACTTATTCTGCAAAACCACCATCCTCATGATGCATCTAACATGCGTTGGATAGAGTGGTAGCAACATTAGGCTGTGTGTCCTCAGGATTGGTACAAATCTGAGAGGTAGTGACTTGTCCAGTCAGAAGGACATTAAGATGTTTGACCTCTGGCTTGGGCACTAGATTGTGTTCAGTAAAAAAGGACCATATTGTCATGTTGGCATCTAGTACGGTCCAGAACCTGGTCTGTAGGCAATGTCCACACGGTTTGGTGAATCACCCTCACCAAACCCAAGTCTTCTGGACATTTTTTCCTATGTCATCATCTATAAGTTGTGTAGTCTTATATCTTACATTTAGGTCTATAATTTGTTCATTTTGAGTTAATTTTTGTGAAAGATGTAAGCTCTGTATCAAGATTGATTGAGTGATTGCACATGGATGTCCAGATGTTCCAGTCTATTGAAAAGCCTCTCTTTTGTTCCTTGGTCAAAGACCAGTTGATTATATTTGTGCAGGTTTCTTTCTGGGCTTTAGATTATGTTCTACTGACATATTTGTCTACTCTTTCCCCAGTACCACACTGTTCACCATAGCGCTATGTCTTGAAGTTGGGTAGTGTCAGTTCTGTTATTTTTTAGTATCCTGTTGATTATTCTGTGTGTTTTGCCTTTCCATATCAACTTTAGTTTGGCAATAGCCTCATAATAACTTGCTGAGATTTAAATTAGGATTACATTGAATCTACATGAAATAGCTTCAAAAAGTTAATGGAATTAAAAGACAATGACATTTTTCCACATACATTTTGAAGCCCCCCTCATAAATCAACTTGAAAAGCATTAACAGCTTAATAACATTAAGACTCCTGGTGTGGTGCTATGGGTTAATGCACTGGACTACAAAGTCACTTTGAACCGAAAGGTCAGCGGTTCAAGCTCACCAGCCACTCCTCAGAAACCCTATCCAGGGTCACTGTGAGCGCTATGAGTCAGTACCGACTTGATGGCATTTACCAACAACAAAAATACATAAGCAAGAGTCTGGTGTAGCACTGTGGGTTAATGCGCTGGACAACAAGTCGGTTTGAACCACAAGGTCAGCAGTTCAAGCTTACCAGCTGCTCCTTAGAAACCCTATACAGGGTTGCTATGGGTTGAAACCAACTCAACAGCACTTAACAACAATACATAAACAGGAGTCCTGGTGTGGAGGACTGGGAAAAGGCACTGGGCCGCAAGTCAGTTTGAACCACAAGGTCAGCAGTTCAAACTCACCAGCTGTGACTTGAAAACCCTATGCAGGGTCATTATGAGTCAGAACTGACTCGAAGGAACTTAACAACAACAATACATAAACAAGGAATACCTTTTTATTTACATGTCTTTTGATTTCTTTTATCAGTTTTTCAGTTTTCCTAATATTGACTTATACATGTTTTGTTAATTCATACCAATTTAATTTTTTTCAGTGCTAATGTAAATTGTGATTTTTGTTTTAAGTTTTTATTGTGAATTGAGTCATAGTTTACATGGGAGAACATAAGTTTTACACTCACTATTTCATTGCAATGATGTAAATGATGTTTTGTTTTGTTCTGTTTTTATTTCAAATGCCAATTGTTCCTTGCTGGCATGTAGAAAAGCAGTTGACTTTTATCAGTGTTGTATCTTGCTATGTAATTGCTTATTCCATTTGTTGTTGTTGTTTATTCTTTGAGTTTTTTTACATAAATAATCATATCATCAGTGAATAAACACAGTTGTCTTTCCCTTTCCCAGAATACCTTCTACAAGTATAAACTTAGTTCTCTGTCACCTGCCAGACTCAAGGCTGGGATAGGGGGGTAGGGTGAGGGAGAGAGGTGTGATCCTGATCTCTCCTTCAAGGGTCCCACAGTCTTGCAAGGTCTGATAAATAAGCAGCTAGTGTTTGCTTTCTTCTTATTTCTATTTCTTTGTGTTAAATAAAAGATTCCAAAAGTAGTTGCCACAAGAGCTCAAGGAATTGACTAGAGTGGTCAAGGTAGGTACCCTAGAGGAATTACTCCTTCAATGAGCTCTTGTGTCCCCACATATTCCAACATGTCTGCTTCTGTTTCTCCTGCCCCCCTTTCTTTTTTCTCACTATTGCCTAACTTCATCCCTGCTCCCGGATATCTAAGTGGTCATGGAGACAGAGCCTGTGGGTAGGGCAGGGGTCAGTACAAGGGCCAAAGGCCATGAAGAGAGGACGAGGCTAGGGTAGCCTCTAGAACAGGAAAGAAATGCAGGACCATCTTGGTCTTGCCCCAGAGTAGTCCAGCCTTCTCAGTCCCCAATTCGAATGCATGTGTGTAGCCATGGACAAGTCGGAATAATGGGCCCCCATCTGGAGTCCTGGTGTAGCACTGTGGGTAAATGTGCTGGACTTCAAGGTCAGTTTGAACCACAAGGTCAGCAGTTCAAGCTCCCCAGCCACTCCTTGGAAACCCTATAAGGGTCACTATGAGTCAGAACTGACTGGATGGCACTTAACTACAACAATTTGTGGCATGTACACCATGTTCCAGGTCTTTTGTTGGATGCGTATGTATGTTATCTCATGGAATCCTCTCCCCAGGCAGGGAAGTATTATTATCTGCACTTCACAGAAGGCAAAGCAGACTCAGAAGGATCAAGATTTGGCCCCAACTCCCAAAACCAAGAGATGGCTTTGCGTCAGTCTGTACCTCATTCCCTCTTGTTTGTGGAAAGCCTCATGAGGGCAGTTCATAAAGCAGCTCTACAGGGAGTGACCTCTCCCCTTTCTTTCCAATCCTAGGTGTCCCCGGCCCTCCAGGACCAAGAGGACTCAAGGGAGATGTGGGAGTGAAAGGGCCTGTTGGTAGCAGAGGATCCAAAGGAGACTCCGGCAGCTTGGGCCCCCCAGGACCTCAGGGGCCTCAGGGTCAGCCTGGGGATACTGGAGCTATGGGAGAACGGGGGCCAGTTGGCCTGCGAGGTGTTCCAGGCCCCAAAGGCTCGAAAGGCAGTTTTGGAACTGGAGGACCAAGAGGACAGCCAGGCCTTAAAGGGGATGTGGGACCCCCAGGGCTAGAGGGGCTCCCAGGGCCAGAGGGGCCTCCAGGGCCTCAGGGAAAACCAGGGATTGCAGGGAAAACAGGGTCACCAGGCCAGCGGGGGCCCATGGGCATTAAAGGTGAAGCAGGGATTCAGGGTCCTCCTGGCCTCCCTGGTCCCCCAGGCCCTCCAGGGAGCCAGAGTTCCTACTGAAGAGGAACCTGTCCAGGACCCTGCCCCACAGAATTCCAGGAAGGGAGCTAAGAGCAGGACAAGCCCCATGAAGCCTCACCTAGGACCTGTGGTCCTTTGATTCCAATGGGGCTAACCCTGAAACCTCAGGTTCCCCAACAATGACTGTGCCATTGGAAAGCAGCCCCCTTTACACACACACACAAACGTATGTTTCCCTGCAGGTCAGGGGGTTCTGACTGGAGTTCCCTGGCTGGGCAGGAGGAGAGGGTAGCAGAAAACTCACCTCTCTTGCGATGGAGCCTGCCAGGGAGGTGGTTATCTCGAGATGGAGGTCTTGAATCTATTCCTAAATCAGTGGCCAACTCCACTCTTCCCAGTGTCTTCATACCATCCCAGCCAGCAGTTGCCTGGAGCTCACATTGTTTAAAAGACCCAGGAAAACCTTGTCAGGAGATTATGGTTAAAACTCATGGGACAGGGTGGATTTGGCAACTGCAAGAATCTCTCCATCATCATAGAGACTGGGTCCTCAAAGGAGCTGCCCCTTGCCTCACATGGGACAGTGGGACCTCAGTTGTCGGACCCTACACATGGTACCCCTGACAAGTTCAGCATTTTGTCCATGACTCTCAGAAGCAGTCCACAAGAAATCCAAACAAGAGTTTCAGTTGCACAGGGAGACTATTCAGGCCCTGCAACATTCTGCCAAAGTGGCAGCAACCATCCAGGAGAGGCCACGGAAGCTGGAGGGAGGGAGCATTTAGATATTTTATCGGCTGGGGTTTTCTGCACAGCTGTCCCACATGAGGCCACTGCCTTTGTTCACTGGGGAAGATGAGGCTGACAGAGGTTAGCTATGAGCACAGTGTGGTGATTCCCCACTGACATCTGAGCTCTCTGACCACAGCTGCATGCTGGCCCCTTCCCACCCTGGCCCAGAATGCCTTGAGCCCTCAGCACATGAAGCAAGCCTGCCTAGGAGTCTCACTATGCAAGGGCCTCAACTCCACAAGAAACTCATTTGACATCAGCACCTCAGACTTCCTGTGCACTCGACCGAAGAGTACAAACACATTTCCTACAGAAGGGGAAGGCCTGTGACCCTTCTCCTGTACACTGAACTCCTTATAAAATGCCCTGCCTTTATGTTCAGATTCAGAGCACCCCTGAAATGTGGGTAGGGAGCTGCCTCCTCCCAAACACTGACTCAGCCATGAGCCTTTTTCTGCAGTTCAGAAAGCCTTTCTGCCACCTTCATTGTGATAGATGTGCAACTGGTTTGCATCACCTACCTGCCCCCACTGCCATGTAATTCTCTTGTCTCCATATGATATCGTACAGCATAGTATTACTGACTCAATAAAGAGCTGTTTCTACAAGGGTGATGTCTTCTAGTCTTTCAATCTCACTGTGGAGTTTGGGAATAAATCCCTGAGCCCTCATCCAAATCCACTGAGCTCTGCTAGGAGTTCACAGTGGTTGTGTGGGGGCAAGGAACTAGGAGTCCCAGAGGAAATGACACCTAGAGATCAGAAGCCAAGTAAGGAACAAAGTGTGTTTTGTTAATGCTATCCCATCATGGCACATCACCACCACCACCATGGTCTTATAGGAATCCTGGTATGGCACTACCGGTTAACGCACTTGACTGCAAAATCAGAAATTTAAGGTCACCAGCTGCTCCTCAGAAATCTTATATAAGGCCACTATGGGTCAGAACTGACTCAACATCACTTAACATCAACAACGTGGTCCTATAAGGAACGCTGGTGGCACTAAAAGGTAAATATAGGACTACTAACTACAAGGTTGGCTATTTGAACCCACCAGCCGCTCCTCAGGAAAAGGTTGAGGCTTTCTGCTCCTGTAGAGATTTACAGCCTCACAAAACCCTCTATAGGGTCGCTGTGAATCGGAACTGACTTGACAGCATTTAACAACACCAATGACTCTCTTAATTGTACTTCTGAGAAATCTGTACCTAGACCAAGAAGCAGTTGTTTGAACAGAACATGGGAACACTGAATGTTTTAAAATTGGGAAAGGTGTGAGACAGGGTTGTATTCTTTCGCCATACTTAT